ACAGCGAGAATAAAGTTACGCCTTCTTTCTTTGTGTGAACATTTGGGTGGTGTTATGCAAATCTTCCCACATCGTGAGGTAGATATGTGGGGGCGTGTTTAAACGAGGCATTTTAGGAGGGCATGGGCGAGTCTTAACTTTTATAAAGAATATCTCTTTGGGTTTGAGACTTTAGTCTTTGCAACTTTAGGGATCTTATCTATTCACGAACAGCTTGTAACACTCCAAAGAGAAAGGAAAACTTGAAATCGCATCATATGACCCCTTTAAATAAGCTAAACTACTTGGTATTTACCTATCAGTGTAAAAGGAAAAGGTAACAAAACTGCAGAAGCAAACAGAAGTTATGTAACATCTAGCATACATGACAGTCATGTTATCAGTGAATGTGAAAATTCAACAGAAGCCGAGACAGTCTAGTCACAGATGCATATGTGTGCAAAATAATTTTTTGCATTGCCATAGCAACTGTAACGTCTGTTACACTTCATCTAGTTATAAGCCACACGAATAAAGCCTAACCAAGGCTTGGCAAAGTGTTTATACAATTGCACCATATCCACATCAATAACCTGCTGCACATCAGCACAGATTGTGACTTTACGAAGGACCTTGATGGTTAAAAAGTGGGCAAACAGTCCAGCCCACGAAAAAAAAAAAACAGCATTTACGACTTTCACCGTTATTGTATGTCTACAGCAATGGGAGTGAAATGTGAGTCTTAAAAAACTCTTTTTAGATTTAGTATCACATTGAAAATGAAATGGGTCTAGATCCAATAAAAAAAAAAAAAATGTAGTCTGTGGATGTTTTAAATGAATGTTATTGAAGCGTACAGAGAAAATCTAGCTTTTTAATACCAGAGGTCGCTGGGTTAACTAAGAGTCTGTATCTATAAAACTCAATGTGGCTGACTTACTTGATCTAGAGTTCCAGAGGGATGTTCATTGAAGGCAACACTATGGCTGTGGTCCACTGGGTTTATGGGATGGGAACTGGAGAACAGAGAGGGGGTTACAGAACCATACCCTCCCTGTCATGCAGAACCATCCCACTAGGGGAGGCAGGAGGAAATGGGCGCTCAATGCAACCTGTGGATGAATCACAAGAGAATATGAACTGGGGTTGAGGAAGCAAAATCAATCACACAAACATCAAAACAGCAAATTTTGCAAATCGCTGGCATTGTGAACACGTCTTAAGGCACACATTATGTAACAGTGATGAAAGACAGCACTGTCTCAAGCTTTGTCATGAAGTTTCACGAATAGAAAGAGGTTATAAAATGAGGAGCTAATCTATTTGGATAATGGCTTCAGGCAAGCAGCTGATCGGCGCTGAGCTGTGATCAAATCTAATGATTTGTATACAGGGAGAAGATGAAAGTGAAGATTTCCTGCTGCGTTAATTAAGAACCTTTTACTTCACCTCAACAGATGTGAGACCTAGGGCAGAGAGCACTGAGGGTTTGATTAAATGAGTGCTTGTATGCGTTCTAGATTATAGCAACTAGGAAACCATAAAGCTTTTGACTTCAGATGGGCCTTTGTTCTTGTTCCAGACCAGTATTCTCTACCAACAATATTGATTCTCATGGGGCCCTTAAGCTATCTGAAATGTAGGCTATCAATTTGCGCACCAGTGGGATCATATCTTTTCATATTTTAAAGAACAAGGCTACCGGTAGATTTAAAACAAAAACTGCAGGACTACATTTATTAATAATGAATGCTTTGTTCATTACTTTGAAACACAACCTAGATATGTACTATAACGCCATGATATTGAGCTATATAAGCTAAAAATAAGATTAAAATGCAAAAAAAACAAAAAAACAATTAACGTTTTACTGACAAGTTTCCCGCAATGTAATGGGAGAGTAAATGAGAAAACTGAAGCACAGCAGAAAAAAGGCTTTTAGAATGCTCGAGAACTATTGATTAGCCCTCATTATGATGAATAATACAAGTCTTTAAAAAAATCTATGGCAAATGAACGATCACCCTAAACCACTAATTGTCCTAAACACTAGCCAGGGCTTGATAATAAGGACTGCCCGGGGCCAGCGTGAAAGATGCACGGGACAGTTGACGAATTTGTCACTGGCCCGATCGTGCCACTGCTGCGTCGTCACGAAATTTTATCATTTGCATGTGTTTTTATGACTTGTTAATTAAAATTTTTTAAGCGATTTTAAAGCATTCTAACAAGACACGCAAGACAACTCCATTCAGTACTCACACGCTGTGTTCTGTGTGTACAGTGCGCATTCTTGTGCTTGAACAGACAAATACATTAAAAAAGTATGTCAAAATGCCCATCTTGGCAAGTATCTTTGTATCTTTAACAATGATTAATCTATATATAATTTATACAGTAAAGTACAGATGCACCGGTCGACTGGCCATATTTTGTTTTACTTCAACCAATTTTCCAATTTGTGTCTCATTCAGCCCGTCTGATGTTTTTCATAAAGCATCATTTCATTTGTATCTTTGTTCCATATGCAGTTGTGCTATTGTTAGTAATTTGTCCTTATTTACTGTAGGGATGTTCATTATAACCGTTTAACCGACCGTAAGAATTTTGACCGATTAATACAATCAGTTAAACGATTTAAAAAGTCATTTAATTATTTATTTTTCCAGTAATTTATCAAAATATTTAAAAAGGTTTGCTGCATGGTTAAAATACGCTACGCGTATATAAAAAAAAAGTGTTTTTTTAGGGGGGAAAAAACAAGTCGTGTATAAGTCACATTTTTTATTTCATTCAGAAATAGGCCCAATGCAGACACAAAATGTTTACAAACATTATAATAAACACTGTGTAAACATAGCTAGGCTATTTTAGTTCCCCTCACTCCACAACAAATCCTTTCAATTAACAGTATTTAGAAAAGAACAAGAATTAAAAATATAAGAAGCTACAGCAATATAAACGACAAGCCAAAACGAATTAATTTAGGCTAAAACGAAACTGAAACCAACATTGGGTCTCTCATTCCACACAAAATCAAATGTTTCCAGATTCGCGATGTATTTGAATGGCAAATTATTATTTATTATGTACTTCACTGCGTTCCAATATCCACGTAAAACAAAAAGTTTTGCATAACATCACGGCGGTACTGTGATAACACTTAACGGCACAGATTTTACAACATATTTTTTACAAAATATTTTTTTATCCATATGTTTGTCTGACTGTATTTTATTATGATAATGAACAGGCTGCATTGTCAAGGTAGCAATGCTTAACTGAGTGCTCGCATGCAGCGCAATCACTTGAATTTTTCCGTTCTAACAGTGGAAGAAACTACTCCTTTTAGTCCTAAAGATAATCGGAATTGTAAAAGGTTTGCCTTTATTTGTGTACATTCACAATAAAAACAAATCTTTGTGCTTTTGTAAAATAAGCCTAAAGAAAAATAGGATGCCGCTTTCTGCCGTCTGTTTCCTTTCGCGCAGCACAAAAATGAACCGAAGCTCTGCATATAGGCTACTTGTTGCAGTTTTTCTTTCATTCTCTTAATTTATTATTTAAGTAAAAATATGTTTCTCGTATAGGCCTATTTATTCGTTATATATGCTATAGGCTACTGCTCGCAGAAGCGCTGCAGGTGCGTATATGATGACCATGTGAATCCTCATGTTCTGTTGTTTGCTGCTTTTTGCGCATGTAAACAAATGTTAGTATTTTTTAACGGGTCACAGATACTTATCCTTTCTAATTTTATTCAATTCTAATTTAAAATAATCTTGTCGGTTAACGGTTAACAATCGGTTAACGAGCGTCGGTTGTCGGTTAGGAAAAATAACCGAAATGAACATCCCTAATTTACTGACTGTTCACTTGTCTTTAATAATAAACTTTATATTTGTTAGGCTAGTAGTTTGTGCTGTGGTATCGAAATTGGAATCGAGATTTGTAAAAATTTAATAGGTGTCAAAAATTTTGTTGTCATATAAGCTTATCTATAAGAATAAAAGATAACATGGGTCAAAAACAATGATAACAGCAACTTTTTTTTTTTTTGTGGCAGGGCCAGTGAAAATATTGGCAGGGCAAGTAAAAATCTGAACCACTGCCCCGACTGGGCCAGTAGAAAAAAATCCTTAGCGTTAAGCCCTGCTAGCCATACCGTATATTGATCACTGTCGACAGATGGCAGGACAAGACAACCTCAAAATTAAAATCCTTCTCATATAACAATACAAAGTTTCTTACTTTTTTTGCAGAGGTGGCAGTTTATACCACATATTACCTGATATGGTCTTCTGTGCCCCAGAACTATAAGCCTAAATCTATGGCCTTCATTTAGCAAATAGGCTATTAAAGTGCAGCATAATAAGTGCAATATAATAAGTGAAGCTAGATGTGAATCCAATGGAATACAATGAAAGTGAAAGTCTTGAAAGGCAATGCTCAGAGCTATAACTTGAATGAAAACAGGCTATTATGCACTTATTTCATAGCTACATACTGACTAGCCTAGATGGGCACAAATTTCTGTGTTTTGTAAGAAAGAGACTGCTGAGTGATATGAGAGCTGTGAAACTAGCACAGCGGAAACTGGTTGTAGTTGGTTAAACAGTTTGGTATTCATTAGACTCGTTATATATAAAATATTTGACTGAAGAATCCTACAATCAACCAATCAGAATTAAGTATTTCAGAAAGCAATGTGTTAAAGCTGCAGTCCGTAACTTTTTTTGGTTAAAAATGATCCGAAATCAATATTTGAGCAAGTACATAACCAGCCAGTGTTCAATACTATCGCCTTACTTTAGCCCGATTCACAACGGTTATCTTATAATAATGTTTTCTGATTTGAGTGGTACAGGTAGGTTTTTGCGGGAAATTCGAGCATGCTGCTGCATCATTA